CAACATTTACAACTTTCTTAAATATTAATAACTGGACCTAAAAAGACGCCTTTTTATTTCGAAGGAAGGAAGGAACACTTGTCTATTTTTTACTTAAACTTTTAGAACACTTAAGGTATTTCTGTTCCGTTATTCTTATAAAGTGATCGGACTTGACACAAATGTTTATGCACGAATGAACGTATATTGCTCCTAACTGATCTGTCAAATTTAAACCTTATTTCAATAGCACAAGACTTAAAACTTGCAAAAAGATACATATTATTTTGTTAAACAGTTTTTTTTACTTGGAGATAACCTTTTAAGGAACATTTGCTAAATTAATTTAAGTGTTCCAATTCTTTTCTCCGATTTTTTTTTTGCTATAGATAATCAATACGCAATGACCGGATTAAATGGAGTAACAAAAATATCTTCCACGATTAATCTGCTATCATATAAAATTTGTAAATACGGTTAAGACCTACATTAGCATTTTTTTAAACGTTTGAAAAAAATGAGGTCATTCGACGAGTTTAGCAAGATGATTTTAAAAACATCTGGTTGTTAATGCCACTCTCTGGTGTTTTAATTATTGTGATTATAACTATGATTAAATAATGATGTAATTTATTCGTGAAATGTAGAATACATGAATATATTAAAATACCGGGTGCAAAGTTATCGTTATTTCTTCTAAGTTTTCACTTTTCTCTACTCCAACAAGAATTAGACTCGCGTTCATTGTTATCCCCTACCATTGTAATCCCGGATTTCCTTCTTCCAAATAACTCTATCATCCGTCATGTTAGTCATTACTTCTTGGTCATATCACCTTTCACACTATCTATCCTTCTATATCTAGGCCTGCCCTACCGGTGTGCTTGTGTTCATTGTATCTCTATATTATTAATGCACTCGATAAATTATCATGCACAACAACCTAGGTACGTTACAATCGTTTGTAAGCATTGTGCCAATATCCTGTTTATCGTTCGCCAATCTGACAAGTCGTTATACAGTTGCATATGAAGTACTAACTATTTTTATGCAGCGGCCTTTGTAGATCTTATTACGTGTCTACTCGTTGATCTTTTCTAAATATCTTCAGCTTGTTAAACTCAAATTACTTTCCACCATAATACTCTCCCAGCGGGTATTGTTACCTAGGAATTACACTTGGATCAGTTTGAGAGTCTACTCCGTTTTCTTTTATCTAATTAAATAGAACTGACAGGAGGATATTAACAGTCGGTAGAGATGGCAGGGAACATTCCACGTCCGAGCGCATAAATTGAAGGAATGAAGAATGAACTAATGCACCGTGTCCGCCCACCGTGAGCCCGCGGCGCGGCGTAGGCAATATTAGACTAGATTCTTGATCCAGATAGACGCTCAATGCACTTATAGTATTGTTATGTGAAATTTTAATTAAAAGTTTGCAAGAAAAGGAGTTCTAGTCGATGTGCTACAATTTAGTGTCAAATGTAAGTTCATATTCCTTATGCATATGTACACATGTGGAAACATTGACGATAAATTTGCTTATAGGATAATATTATTATCGTATTGTTATTGTAACGGAAGAGGAATAAAATAAGGCATAATTTATCGATAAATTGTCTGGAAAAATAGTCGGTGTTAGTTGGCTCATAGATGAGTCAGATCTAACATGTGCGTCACGGAGCCGGCCTCACCACAGCACTGTAGTTCACCTTGCTACGTGACGATTATTGACCCCTAAAACGTTTTGTTATGTTAATATAGGTCGTTCCTATATATTTGTGTAAGAAATTTCGTACAGTTAATCCTAAAAATACCAATTACAATGAAAGTTGCTGCTTCCTGGATTCCGTGAACATTAGAATTTGTTACACCATTACC